GTCTGGGCCATTCTTTTGAAATGATAAATACAGTAGCACCTCAGTTTGCATTACCCTCAGGTAACGCAAACTTTGGGTTGCGAAAGTGGCAAACCCAGAAGTGTTTCACCCCGTGCGCATGCACAGAAGTGGTCTACCACTCTGGTTGCGAAAACCTCAGGATTTGGCCAGACCTCGGAACGGATCCCATTCGCAACCGAAGGTACCACTGTACCTTAATTCCTGAATCCCATTCATCAAATTTCTTCTTCTTTCTTATTCTTTGTTGATCCCTCATAGCCGAGTAAGATTGTCTTCTATGAACAGGGTCTTAACAGTGAGTCTGTAAGTGACTGTGGAGGCCAGTTCTGGATCCACATGTCCTTCTACAGTGGGGACTTTGGTTTCCAGGTGGGAGTGGATCACGGTGAAGGTTTGCGAAGCGTGCCTTCCTCTTAGCACGTTTCTCCCTTGCGTACTGAGTTTGAGTGTCTTCAAACCCCATGACACCTTTGGTCAAGGCTGTTCTCCAACTGGAGCGCTCGCAGGCCAGTGTTTCCCAGTTGTCAGTGTTTATGCTACATTTTTAAAGATTTGCCTTGAGAGAGTCTTTGAACCTCTTTTGACCACCAGCATTACTTTTTCCATTTTTAAGTTTGGAATAGAGTAATTGCTTTGGAAGACGATAGTCAGGCATCTGAACATCATGACCAGTCCAACGAAGTCGATGTTGAACAATCATTGCTTCGACACTGGTGATCTTTGCTTCTTCCAGGACACTGGCACTAGTTTGCCTGTCTTCCCAAGTGAATGTGTAAAATTTTTCAGAGACACCATTGATGAAATCTTCTGAGGAGTTGGAGATGGCGTTTATAAGTGGTCCATGTTTTACAAGCAGACAGTAAGGTTGGTAGTATAATAGCTTTGTAAACAAGCATTTTGGTTTTCTCTGCCAATGTCCCGGTCCTCAAACACTCTGCACTTCAATCAGGAGAAAGCCACACTTGCAGAGCTCAGGCGATGCTGGATTTCGGTATCGATGTTGGCCCTTGTTGAAAGACAGCTGCCCAGGTAGGAGAAGTGATCAACATTTTCCAACATTACAGCACTGAGTTGGATTTGTGGTGCTGCAGAGGGGTTGTTTTGGCCAGTCTGGGCCATTCTTTTGAAACGGTAAATACTTCAATTCCTGAATCTCATCCCCCAATTTTACACCTATTGATGTACAGAAGATGCTCTGTTGACAGGTCTGCTCTGCTTAACAGATACTTGCCATACTGTTTTTTGCAGAGTGGGACGTGGGTGGCGCTGTGGTCTAAACCACAGAGCCTAGGGCTTGCCGATCAGAAGGTCAGCAATTCAAATCCCCGTGACCGGGTGAGCTCCCATTGCTCGGTCCCTGCTCCTGCCCACCTAGCAGTTCGAAAGCACGTCAAAGTGCAGGTAGATAAATAGGTACCACTCTGGCGGGAAAGTAAATGGTGTTTCCATGCGCTGCTCTGGTTTCGCCAGAAGCGGCTTAGTCATGCGGGCCACATGACCCAGAAAAACTGTCTGTGGACAAATGCTGGCTCCCTCAGCCAATAAAGCAAGATGAGCGCTGCAACCCCAGAGTCATCCACGACTGGACCTAAGGGTCAGGGGTCCCTTTACCTTTAAGCCCCTTCATTCCATGCAGTTTATTTTTTTTTATATAAGATATTTATTAAGGTTTTCAAAATATTACAATATAGAAAAAGAAAAAAGAAAAATGCAAAAATAAAAATAGTTAAAAACACTTCATTCTTTCCATTACTTATCTTTCATTTGCTTATTTCCCGGACCTCCTCACGCCTCCCTTTTTTGTATTCCAGTTCAATTTGTTAGTTCAGCAAATCCCTCCCCTCTTTGTATATCCTAGTCGTTAATCGTAAAGTATTATAATTTTAAATTTTTACCTATTAATAATCCATTTTTTCATATTCCCTTATAACGTTTCAGCTAAAGACCACTTAGTTTCAATCCAACATCATTCTAACATTCATTAATTTTGCAATATTTCTGTAAATAATCTTTAAACTTTTCCCAATCTTCTTCCATCGACTCTTCTCCCTGGTCTCGGATTCTGCCAGTCATTTCCGCCAGTTCCATATAGTCCATCACCTTCATCTGCCATTCTTCCAAGGTGGGTAGATCTTGTGTCTTCCAATACTTTGCAATGAGTATTCTTGCTGCTGTTGTGGCATACATAAAAAAAGTTCTGTCCTTCTTTGGCACCAATTGGCCGACTATGCCTAGGAGAAAGGCCTCTGGTTTCTTCAAAAAGGTATATTTAAATACCTTTTTCAGTTCATTATAAATCATCTCCCAGAAAGCCTTAATCCTTGGGCACGTACCTTCGTTTTCTTTACATTTCCAACATTTATTATCGGGCAAATGATAGATTTTTGCAAGCTTGACTGGTGTCATGTACCACCTGTATATCATTTTCATAATATTCTCTCTTAGGGCATTACATGCCATAAATTTCATACCTGTGGTCCACAACTGTTCCCAGTCAGCAAACATAATATTATGTCCAACATCTTGTGCCCACTTAATCATAGGAGTTTTCACTGTTTCATCCTGAGTATTCCATTTCAACAGCAGGTTATACATCTTTGACAAAATCTTAGTTTTGGGTTCTAACAGTTCTGTTTCTAGTTTTGATTTTTCCACCTGAAAGCCAATTTTCTTATCCAAATTGTATGCCTCCATTATCTGATAGTAATGAAGCCAGTCTCGCACTTTATCTTTTAATTTCTCAAAGCTCTGCAATTTCAATTTGTCTCCTCCTTGTTCCAAGATTTCCCAATATTTCGGCCCATTCCATGCAGTTTACAGCAGTTTGTTTATTTACAGGATTTACACATGAAAAATAGCAATTTGGAAAGGCATCCCCCCCCCCCCCCCGGCCAATACTCTGCTTTTGCAGAGAAAGATCTGAGGTCACTTAAGAGTGTGGCTCTCCTGTACCATTTCAGAATATAGTTTGTATGTGTGCCCACACTGTGTATTATTGAACATTTATTTTATTGTTTTGACAATTAGTGTGCTTTGGTTGTTCTCGTGTAATACGCTCACCTGGAGACAAATAAGCTACTGGTGATGGCAAGAAGGGGGTTCATTGCTGGAAGAAGGAATGCTGGCTCCTCCAGAGAAGGTCTTGCCTGTTGGGGGTCTTTGTGCGTACTTTGGCCCTACTGAGCTCACACTGGCTGTGGATATTGAGCGTTCATCTCGCAGATGTATCTGGTTTTCGTTGCACAGTAACACCTTTGTAGGGCTCCGTTGCTCATTTGAGCGCAGGTGCTGTGGTAACCACAAGAAGTCACAATATTTTCAGTTCTAGAAAAACAAAGATGACAGTCAAGGCAAAAAGCCCAAATCCCTCCTCGCCATTCATCATTATCTAAGGCCCTTCTTCATGTGCCTCCTCCTTGAGAGGTCTGGAAGGTGGCAACATGGGAACGGGCCTTCTCTGCAGTGGCTCCCTGTCTGTGGAATGCTCTTCCCAGGGAAGTTCGCCTGGCACCTTCATTGTGCACCTTTAGGCGCCAGGAGAAAATGTTCCTTTTTAAGCAGGCCTTTGCCTGATCTACATCCTATACCCTTTTTAAAAATGCTGGCTCTTTTTTTGGGGGGGGGGCTATTGAGTTATTGTTTTGATTTTGATTTTATATATGTGATATTTTACATGAACCGCCCTGAGACCTTCAGGGGGCAGTTAAACTACTCCCCCCAAATCCCAAGTCCCCACCACAGCCTCTAACTAAGGCCAGGACAATGACCGTTGTCACAGGCACCAGACATACACAACAGCAAAGAAGCTCAGAAAAGTAGTCTATAAAATTGTAGCAATAAGTGGATACCATGTATTGTATTGTTTCTTCTGACTATCCAATATAGAATCAAATAATAGGCCAAAATTTAACAGTTTAACCCATTTCCTTGGTTCCAATGGCTAATGGGTCCTCTGGAAGAGGGGAATCCAGGGCTCCCCTGCCGCCATAATCCCTTAAGCATAAGGTCAGGTACTCCTTGCCTCTCCCCAGGAAGTGGGAAAACGATAACAATGGACCAGACAGATATCCGTTGATGGGGTCTGCTGAAGCTAGGTGTTCACATAGCCCATGGGTAAGTAAACTAAGGCCTGGGGGCCAGATCCGGCCCAGTCGCCTTCTAAATCTTGCCTGTAGATGATCTGGGAATCAGTGTGTTTTTACATGAGTAGAATGTGTCCTTTTATTTAAAATGCATCTCTGGTTTATTTGTGGGGCATAGGAATTCATTCATTTTTTTGCCCCAAAATATAGTCCATCCCCCCCACAAGGTCTGAGGGACAGTGGACTGGCCCCCTGCTGAAAAAGTTTGCTGACCCCTGACATAGCCCATCTTCAGGAAAGCCCAGAGGGCAAGGATAGGTGTAAATATGGTAGTTCTATTGTTCTCTTGGTGGTGGGTACTTAGAAGTTGTTGGGGACTCCTGTTACCCCTCCTTCTTGGTGACACACACTGGTGATGTATCTGGAAATGTACTATTGGAGGGTGGGGGGAGGTCTTAAAAGTCCATGCAACCCCATGCTCGGGGTTCCTGCTCTGTGTGTTTGAACCTTGTTGCAACAATAAAGATCAGCTCCACTGACCTCTGTTGCTTCTTTAACTTGTCTGGAGATTCCTTCTTTTGCTGACCAGGAGAAACCCACGGGGAGTGGCACCCCAATGAGCTGGGCAGTGGAGTAAACTTGCACCCAGATTTTTTCCATAACAGGGTATGGGGCGGTATAGTAAGTAAGTAAGTAAGTAAGTAAGTAAGTAAGTAATGATAAGTTCTCCCAGCCACCCCAAAATGAGTCTCTGTGGGGCTGCCCTCATTTGCACCAGCCACGTTTTGCAGAATCTGAATTGTCAGTGGTGGCCAGTTTAGGAGGAGCCTGTTTGGGGGCTGCAAAATATCTTCTGGGAGGAGAATCCAGATCCGTCCAAAACAGGGACAGGCAAAGTCTTTTTTTGCCCTGCTGCTTTCCCCAGGAAAACTGGATCTTTACCAGTGAATCAGAGCAAATGTCAATTCAGGTTTTCCACAGAATTGTTTTCATTGATAAAGGGAAGGGTTTTGTGAGGCTAAGCCCTATAAGAAGGAGAAAGGCTGCAGATTCCAGGGGTGGCTGTAGGAGGAACTCTGCTCTGTTCAGCCCAAGCAAATCTGATTTAATGGGTAGCAAAGGGACCCTCTCTCTTCCACTCACCCTTCATAGCCCGTACCATCAACCCATTTCCAGGATTCTGATTGCCGGTCTTTTTCAAGTCCAATCCAGTATTGAGTTTTCTAAGAAAAAGAATAAAATGTTCATGGAGAAAGACCTCCTCCCCAATGAGACTTTCCCTTCTCACTTTTTAAGAGGTTCTTATATAAAAGCAATACAGTTAATTAGAGTCTACAGGAAACTAGAGAGTAGGAGGAAAATTTGCTTTTTCTCTAGCTGGCTATGGGGCAACTAGATACTCCAAAATCCGGTGCCCTGGTTGGCTTCCGGCCTATGGTCACCCCAGCACACACCTTGCTCTGGTGCAGAGTGGTCTGGAAGAAGACCCAGGTCCAGAATGCAGAAGATATGAATTGAGGATTAATTCTGTAAAGTGAAATTTAAAACCTTCTATCCCACATGTGTGGGCAAAATAAAAAACGGAAATGGGATGTGAAGCCTTTTTAGCAGAATAAAACACTTAAATGTTTTTGCAGCTTACTGAAGTTTAGGAATAAGGCAGTTATACATTTCTATCCCCTTTTATTTGTGGTCTGCTGACCTTCCCCTTGTTCACATCTGTTTCAGAGACTGAATTACATGTTTTTAGTATTATTTTTTTAAAAAACCGTTTACTCACATTTCAGTGCAGGCAGCATTTACAGCAAATATAGTATGCTGATAAATACTTCTAAGCTACAGTAAAATAAAAGTTGGTAGTCTTGGCTCACATGGCTGCGAACCCCACACAGAATGTGCCATGGTACCCCTTCTAGTTCATGGGGGGGGGGTTGCATCTGCACTGAGAAATCAAGGGGTTATCTGTCCTGGTGGATATTTCTTCATGATCTGTAACGGTTAGACTCTGGACTTGACTCCCCAGCCCCAGAAGCCCCTTCCTTAAAGTCTGAGGCATTTGCACCCCAAAGGTATTACCTTATCAATGTCTGTGGCATCCCATAGTTCTTTTGCACTCCAGGGCTTCAAAACAAGCAGCTGAGATGATTTCCACTTGCAGTCTTTCTGGCTTTCCTGCCAACTCTTCATTCCCCATGAAGGTGAAATCCACAGGCATTTCCACCCGAATAACTTCCATTCTTGGGGACAGCAAGCTGGAGAAGGCAAGGGAAAGTCAAGGGAAGGTGTTCAGCTGAAAGCCACGTGGTCTCAGGCTGCCTTAGGATGGGACCCACTCTGGTGGGGCCCTGTCTGTCCCCAGTCAATGGGCTGAGAATCTATGAGAGGAAGAGGGGGTGTCGTGGGTGACGTGGATAATGGTGCCCACACCAAAGAGAAGTGAGTCTCAGGCTGGATGGGGAAGGGGACACTTTTCACATGTATTCCCAGACAGAGCCAGGGCTTTGGCAGGTGGGCAAGGAGTGTAAGGGCCCCTGCCAGGGAGTCTGCAGGTGCTCCTCTGTAGGTGGGCAGCAGGCTGTGCCATCATAGACATAGTGCCGCCTGCACAGGAATCCAGTGGAGAGACTGGAGCAGGGGGTCCTGGCCTCCATAGGACCTGCCTCTCTCCATGTGAAGGTGGGGGTGGGGTCTGCAGGAAGTGCTTTGGCTGGTGTGGCACTTGGGGGCAAAGGCCAGTGTGCTGTGCCAGAGGCAAGGGCTCCTTGCTGACCGGGCTCCTAAGCCGGCTGGCCCAGACCCTTCCCAGCTGCTGTTCCTCCTTTCATCAGCTGTCTGAATCCTGCCCTGCCCAGCAACCAGGAAATACTTGTGTATTTTATTTGTATTTCTATTTATTTGTTTCATAAATAAATAAATACACTAAATCTATTGAGTGTGTATTAAATGTGTATTTAATTATATATATTTAATTAAACATATTACAGTCGTACCTTGGAAGTCAAACAGAATCTGTTCCGTTCGACTTCCAAAACGTTCGGAAAGCAAAGCTTGGCTTCTAATTGGCTGCAGGAAGCTTCTGCAGCCAATTGGAAACTGTGTAAGCCATGTTGGACGTTTGGTTTCTGAAAAACGTTCAAAAACCAGAACACTCACTTCTGAGTTTCGATCGTTTGGGAGCCGATTTGTTCGGGAGTCAAGGCGTTAGAGATCCAAAGTACAACTGTAATTGTGTACATTAAAAAATATTGATTATATTGTGAATACTTTAATATACAGTATGGAAATCTAATTCAGTGTGTACTCTTGCAGCCCACGCGCTCTGAGAGGTTGGGCCACCCTGCCCTGTATGATCCCAATCCTCTTCCACCACCTGAGAGGCAGGTGATAGAATACGGTGCGCAGGGAGCCTGCCCAGCCAGCCTCCTGATCTGAATGCAACGGACATACCCTTCTGTTGGCAAGTTATAAGTAGCTCCAGTTTCCCCTCCATCTCCTCCAACTGCTGCTGAATGGTCTCCTTCTCCTCCTGCAGCATTGCTTTGTCCTCTTGCTGCTGCTCTTTCTCCTGTTCCAGCTCTTCCTTATCCCGTTGTAGCTCCTCCTTCTCCTGCTGCAGCTTCTCCTTCTCCTGCTGCGTGAGCATCAGGCTCTGGTTGGCTTGCCTCAGCTGCTCCTGCGTCCTCTTCTCAGCAGCCAGGCAGCTCCAGAGGGTCCCGTTGGTGGAGTGGAGCTCCTCCTGGGCCTCTTCCAGCTGGGCCTGGGTCTGGGCCAGGCTGCCCTCCTGGGAGCCCATTCTCCGTTCCAGGGCACTGCCATCTTCAGTCGCCTGCTGCAGCTGCTGTGAGACCTGCCAGTCTGCAGAGCACAAGCAGGGGCAACATGAGAGGAGGAGGAGGAGGAGGAGGAGGAGGAGGAGGAGGAGGAGGAGGGAGCTTCAGGTGCCAGGCAGGCAGCATGGCAGAGGGGAGCCAGGCTCCACTGCGGGAGCCCAAAGGCAGGCTGCTCAGAGAGATACAAAGGGGGGGTATACATCAGGGGAGTTTTGAGTTATGGTGTTGGAGGAGACTCTTGAGAGTCCCATGGACTGCAAGAAGATCAAACCTCTCCATTCTGAAGGAAATCAGCCCTGAGTGCTCACGGGAAGGACAGATCCTGAAGCTGAGGCTCCAAGACTTTGGCCACCTCATGAGAAGAGAAGACTCCCTGGAAAAGACCCTGATATTGGGAAAGATGGAAGGCACAAGGAGAAGGGGATGAGATGGTGGGGCCGTGGTCTCGAGGCTACCAACATGAGGAGGGCAGTGGAAGACAGGAGTGCCTGGCGTGCTCTGGTCCAGGGGGTCACAAAGAGGCGGACACAACTAAACGACTCAACAACAACAACAACAACAACAACAACAACAACACATCCGAGGAGACAGTGAGGTACTCTCCTGATGTGAAGCTCCAGCTCCCCTTGAACCTGACCACTGAGCATGCAGGTTGGGACTGGTGGGAACTGGAGTTTAACACTACCTGGAGGGCACCAGGCAGACCCTCTCTCAGCCCAAGCTCCAGGGTAAGCTCTGCATCAAATGCCTGCAACACTTATTATATTTTATTTATTAAATTTATATGCTGCCCTTTATCAAAAGATCTCAGGGTGGTTCACAGACATTTCCCCCCTCCCCCATTTATCAGGTCAATGGGCTTGTGCAGGGGGCACCTGCTACTCACATCGGACCCCCAGTCCTATGGCGGCGGTGAGAAGGAAGAGGCAGGCGGCCAACAAGGCCAGGATGGCGTACCAGGTCCGATGGTCTGACTCTGCAAGAGAAACTCAGTGGGGTCAGTTTGGGGTTCCTGTGGGATGGGGTCAACCCTCAAAGGAAGCCTGATCCTGGGGGGGGGGGGGGCTGGGAATGGAAGGCAGCCCCAATTCCCTGTCAGGGCCCAGCAAGCTTTGCTGCAGTCGTGGCCAATCCCATGCGTAGGCATTTGTGGGGGAAGGAGCAGGCTCCTTTGGGGTCCCCTCTCCTCTTGTTCGGCGGGGGGCCCTCTCATGCAGAGCCCAAACACCCCAAGATGAGGAGAGCCACTGCCCCAAGTCAGACTGGTGGAATGGCTGCGGAAACCCCAAGATTCCCCCCAGATTTATATTCTGCATGGTTGAAAAGGGTCCAGTGTTAATTTGAGTAAAAAGTTCATGAAATTAAAGCCTCTTTGGGAGCCCTTCTTAAGTCTGAAAATCTGGAGGTACAAAATCTCAGGATGAAAAACATTCTAAACACAGAAGTCTCCTTTCTGGAAGGCCCTGAACAGTAAAGACTCCCCTTAGGAAAATAAGTGGCTTCCAGCTGTACAGGATTTAAAGTTATATATAGATTAAGATTAAGGATTAGGATTAAAAAAGTTTAAGGAAATGGAAACATGGTTTTTAAGAGGTAAAATTTTAATGTTATATTAAGATTAAAGATTGGGATTAAAAAAGAGGGAAAGAAATTGCTGGACAAACAATTTGAACTGGAATACAAAAGAGGGAGGTATGAGGAGGTCCAGAAAATAAGTAAATTTAAAAATGGAGATGAAAAGGTGGTATTGTTTTTAACTGTTTTCTTTTTCTTGTCTTTTTTTTGGTTGTTGTTTTTTTGTTTTTTTTTGTTTTTCCTTTTTGGATTATGTATTGTGTATTTTTGAATTGTGTATTTCTTTTTTATGTTTTTATGTTTAATTTTTTTTATTGATGTGCTCTTTTTATTGGAAATTTTAATAAATATCATTAAATAAAAAA